CTATAAGGGTTTGAGGTTTCGGAGGTTGATGTCCAGAGTTCAACGTCGAGTTGAAATAGGGTGATCGTGGGGGCATAGGCCGTGGTGTAAATGCAGCCGTCTCAGTGCATCCGCAGGTGGCGAGGCTCAATCGACCATACTCTTCAGAATTTTCAGGATAAGAGAGGGAATTCAATAATTTATTGGAATCGGATGTTGGGGTTCTTCGTAGTATAGTTCCGTGGGGACCATAGCGGGATTTCATTCCTGAAGGCTTCTATATAACTCAATCGTGCTAAAGCCTAGCCCTAACCCCCCCGCAAACCCTGGAGCAGCCCTCAACCCTAAACCCCTAAACCCTAAACCTTAAACCTAAACCCCTAGGCCCCTAAAACCCCAAAAACCCTAAACCCCCTAAACCCCCTAACCCCCCCCCCCACCAACCCTGGAGCCCCAGACCGTGCAACCCTCAAGCACCAGACCCCAAAGCCCTACTTGGAGGGGCAGGGGACTTAGTAAGTAGGTTATTAGTAGGGTTATCATAGGGGTAACTCCATTTAGGGTACGTATAACTCTACTTCTCACCTACTTACTAAGTCCCCTGCCCCTCCAAGTTGACCATAAAAAATCGGGACGACCCCCAAACCGGCAAGCACAAATCCATATATATATATATATATATATATATATATAAAATATATAAACCATAAAGCCCTCACCCTGCAGCCCTAGACCGCAACACACGGAAATACGAAAGTCCCAAACCATACAAAACCCCAATGCAAAATACTAAACCCTAAACCCAAAGCCATAGAGCCGCAGGCACCGAAACCCCAAAACTCGGCAGATGGGAAGCCCTAAAACGGTATCTAGGGTTTAGGGGTTTACGGGGTTTAGGGGTTTAGGGGTTAGGGGTTGAGGGTTTACATCTTGAACACGTGGACCGCCATCGAACACTTACAACCCTAAAGCCGAAGACCGGCCCGAAGACCTACGCGTAGGCCCCAAAGTAGTTCCTTTTTGGGGGTTTGCTTATAGGATTCTAAAAATGAAACCCACAAAGGAACTACTTTGGGGCCTTAGGGTACTCTCCCACACCCCAAGAAACAGCGAGAAAAGAGACGGAGAGATACCTGTTCAACATATATTTATGTCCAGATCTGTATCCACCTCTAGATCGTCATCCATATCTATTTGTACATATGGTGGTATAAAGGTCAAAGCACGAATAGCCTAGTGGCTTGATAATTAGAATAGGGGTTGGGGGGATAGTGTACTCTAATTATACTAAGGAGCCCCCAAAACCTCATTTTACTCATTGAATTAAGACCCCACAGTAGTCCTAAACCCTAAATCCCAAACCCAGAGACTCTAATTAAGGAATATATTCCTTAAATCATACTAGGGATCCTACTATAAATTAAGGAATGTTCCTTAATCAAGGGATATTGGAGCCTCTAGAAACCTTAGCCTGTGGGCCTTGCTTTGCTACTTTCTAGATCCTAAACCCTTAACCCCTGAACCCTAAGCCCTAAACCCCTGAACCCCTAAACCCTAAACCCTTAGATCCCTTTAAGGAACCCTCGTCTGAGGCCGCCCCCAGGGGGGAAGGATGCCCTCGAGGCCCTGAAGGCAGCGGAACGGAGAGAAACATAAATTGCAAAAGCCCTCCTTTAAGGGCTCTTATAAGAGCTCCTTTGAGGGGGTTTTTGGCAGGGTTGTAATAGGGTTTTGCAGTATCGGGGCCTTACAAGTCAGAATGAGGTTTTGGGTATATTACTACAAATATAAGACGGAACCCGAAGGAACAATGTAGGTAATTGTCCAGGCTCCTATAGTACGAGTCTTTCGGGGATTTGGGTTGCAGGGTTTGAGGTTTAGGGGTCAGGGTTGAGGGTGTGGGGAGTTAGGTTTTAAAAATATATTTTTGTCTTATGTAGGCTTGGGGAATTGGGGTTAAGGGTTCACGCTGAGAGTAGGATTTAGGGCCATTTGGGTTTTGGGCGCGGCTAGTGGCATGTAGAATTGTTCTTGAGTGTTATCTCTTGTCTTGTGTGTGTGTGTGTGCCGGGGTTTTTGGCATGTGCCCCGAGACCAATATCCCTTAACCAAGGAATATACCTTAAATTATAGTAGGGATCCCTAATATGATTCAAGGAATATCCTTAATTAAGGGATATTGGAGTCTCTGGGTGGGTGTTTGGAATACTTTGAGCTTGAGGGTTTCGGGCTTAGGTTGGGTACGGCCCCCACTCAGAATAGTTGAAAATAATCATAATATAGATATACCAGGACCTTAATTTGCCCTATTATAGACTCTTACTGTATGGGGGGCAGTACCTAAGGTTTAGGTTTGGAGTGCCAGGTTGTAGAGTCGGAGGCCTTGGGTTTCTTTCGAGGTGGTTTCAGTCTGCACATTGTTTAAGGCTCAGCTTAAGCTCTCACATTTGGGTGGTTGTCAAAATTATGGTCCCTTTTTGGGTACCGATTATCATACGGCACCTATTATTTAGGGTACCCAAAGAGGGACCATACTTTTGACAACTACCCATTTAGGGTTTTGGGCTTCGGGTGCTGGTTTGGGCTAAAAGGTTCGGGGAGTTGTGTTTCTCAGCATGTTCAGCGGTTTACGGCAAGCGCTTTCGACTACCAGGTAACATGTCGGCCTTCTTTCGTCGATCCAGCAGTCACTTACCCCTAAGGGTCCATGTACCCCAATAGAATATACATTGGCCCCAATGTGCCTACATAGGGACTAATTACTTTAAGGCCAAAGTATATACTATTTGAGTACATGGACCCTTATACTTTCCACGAACACCTGGTCGGCCCCGATCTTCGCGCACATGCAGTTTACGACGTGGAGTACGCAGATGGCACCTTAAATGCCACAGCTACAATCGTTCTTGAACTCGATGCAAGAAGTAGCCACACAATCTGGCATGTTAAGACTGCTGGAACCCCACCGCATGGAACCCCGCCGCAACTAAATCTACGGCAGCACCCAGGAAATACGTTTTAGGAGCAACAGGGCTGCAGTCATTGTTTGTCGAATCTATCTGTCTGTCTATGTATCTGTCTATCTCTCTGTCTATCTTCCCATCTGTCTACCTACCGATCAACCTATAGAATTTATGTACATGTAGATATATGTGTATCTCTCTCTGTCTGTATTTATGCACATACATATGTGTGAGTAACATATATATATATATGTATGTGTATATATATATATATATATATATATATATATATGGTGATCTGTATATGTATATATACATATGTATGTATGTATGTATGTATGTATGTATGTATGTATGTATGTATGTATGTTGTATATGTTTCTGTGTGTCTATTGTGTATGTGTATGTATGCACTTGCTTGATTTATTTACTCATAAATGTGTTTCGATCCGCTGCAAGTAACCTTTCACCCTTTTCTTGCGCCTCAGGGTGCCGAGAAGGGCCTGAATCTGAAGGGAAAGGCATCCGGCCGTCAGGGTTCCGGTCTTTGGTATGCTTAAAGGATCATGGGACTTAGTATTCGGGTGTTCTTGTTTCGGGTTTAAGGTCTTCGGGTACGTGGGGTTAGGGTTTTTGCAGTGTTCTATTTGGACTTTGTCGGGGTTTAGTGCTGAGGGTTTTCGACTACAGAGGCTTTAGGTTTAGGTTCGTGAGGCGTGAGATACAGGTCAATGCGACCTAGCTTGGCAGCCCCTCTGAACTTGGTAGTTCTTGTATAAGATCTTCTTCTGAAGGAACGAACAGGAGCTAGATTTCCAAGGGTGCTCCAAGAATTGATGAGAATGTTGCACAAGGTTTACGTGAGTGGCCGGGGGGGGGGGGGGTTGAGGGGTTAGGGCAAAAGGTGTTAAGTTGTTAGGCCTATAGTAGGGGTGCAGGTGGACAACCTCCGAACCCCAAACGGACCTCAACTGTTAGACGACTTGAAATCTGTGTATTTCTGTCTTGAACCGTAGACGTGATAAACAAATAAGATGTATCCTGAGGGCTTTTTAGGGTTTAGAGATCTAAAAGTCTAAGGGTCTTGGAGTTGGAATCCAAGTCTGCAGACGTAAAGGTCCTGCGCTTGATTTTGCTTTTCTTGTGAGAATCGGACCAATAGCATTTGTATTTTTTGAATGTCTGCCCTGTAAACCCCGACAGCAGGAGCCACATTGGCCTTGGAGGGGTACTTATGGAAAATAAAAAAAGTTTCCGAAACAGGGGGCCCTAATATAGTACCCTAAAAGAATAGGATCCTTATTATAAGGATCCCCAATTATAGAACTCCTAATGTTTGAAAAAAAAACCAAATGTTCGCAGGGTCTCGGCAGTGTTGGGATTCAGGGATTTGGACAGGTCGTAACCAAGGCAAGGTCCATATTTATGAAGGTCTGTTGTTTTTCTGAGAATGCCACGATACGCGTGTGCATGTGTGTATGCATATATATATATATATAAATATAAATATAAATATAAATATAAATATACATATATATATATATACCTAGACCCACTAGAACCTAATAAATTGTAGGTAATGAAAATTAACTAGGTTCTTTAGAGGAGAACCGGGTTTTGCTTGGAAACCGGGTTTTGGCACATGCTTGGAAAAGCTGCTGTTTGCATAGTTCATGTATTAAACGACACAGGCCAACATCCTCTGAACTTCCGAAGAACAGCCTCGAATGTAGATGCCTTTCAAAACCCCGCCGGAAGACCTTAACTCTCGATAAAGGCCCTGAAGATACCGAAATCCTTGCAGAATAAATCCAGCGAAATCCCCCGACGACTCCAAGCATAAACATCCGAAAGCCAAAGCCTCGCCCAAGACCCCTGCGAACCCTCGAAAGCCCCCGCTGATGTTTGGCATCTTGGCGATCTCCATCTCGTGCCATGCCGGGAGCTCAAGACAGCACTGGAGTGACAGGAATCTCAAACATTGCGAAACACCTCGATTTCTACCTATCTCGATGTGTGGTGTCATCCTTAAAATCTCGATTTGTGCTGTCATCTTTGCTAGCTGTCGTCGTCGACTACTAAGTACTGCGCTTCCACGTACTTCGTGAATGCAGCCTGCAAATGCCGCTGAGCAATCCGCTGTACAACCGTAGATGGGTGCACATGCCTGCTGGTTCTTGAATTTCTGCCAATGTAATCTTCAGCAAGTTGAACGGAGTAGCATAAGGGGTTGACAATCCATTCGGCCTTCTGGGAGGCCAGCACTAGATCCTGAAGACAGATATGCTGCACACAATGGAATTTGGGGAGGAGCAAAAACAAGCATCTTTGCTGCTGATGTGCTTGTGTAGCACACGAGTAGTATCGCCGAAGAAATCGTAGGCCGTATTCCCCAATTCTCTTTGCGGTGGTAGGGTCCAGAAATAGGTCGCTTTGATAAAGCCCAGAAAGGAATGCGTTCATAGCGCGCGCGGCTTCACCGCACTTTGTCAAAAGGTCGTCTTCAAATTCTGCATCTTGCGTGAATGAAGCGATGTACTCACACATCGTGGTGGACAACGACCCTTTGTACCACGTGGCATAGGGATAAGTGTTATTGTTATCCCAGGACACCGTCTCTTTGATGATCTTGGTCAAAAGCGGTTGCCGGCGATGCTGGGCACACCAATTCATGTAGTGCTCCGAAAGCGCTTCAAAGCGCGCATCCTTGGATCGACCATCGAAGGTTTCACTGAAGAGTGCCAATGCAGATCCAGCCAGTGCTTTGCACACACCTAAGTGACAACAATGCCACAGGTCGTATCGGAAGTTGGAGGCCGCAGCCCCCGGTGGGTGAGGAAGGTCCGCGAGCGGGCTTCTAGGATCCAAGAAGGGGCTTTGGACCAAGAATGTCTGAAGCCACGATGGGTCTCTCGTGTGGAAGTGTTCGAAGCTGTGCCCCCTCTGCCCTGCCTGACAGAGGTGACAGATCCCCTCTGGATCCGCCACCTCTTTTGTCTTTTTGACCACATGATTAAAGCTTCTTCCCAAATTCCCAGATTTGATTAGCCAGGGCCAATCACCAGTGACAGCAAGGATGCAAGCATGAAACTTCTCGCCGCTGTGTCCATCAGAAACACCCTGTTGCAAAACGAAATCGTTCTCGTCTTTGCAGTGCTGAAGCAGCAACTGCACGCACCCCTCGGCCTCGATCACTTTCTTCGGCCATCCAGCCTAGGATTTCTGAGGTCAAGGATCTGTTGTTGAAAATTTGCAGATCGAGGATTCTAGAATAAGCGGCTTCAGGGTTTAGGTCTGAATTCACAGAATACACCCCACACAAAACAACAAATCCCCGGCTTCTTGTTTAGACCACATAAACATCGGCGACCTTTTTCTCTTTGTCCTATATAGTGATAAATTTGTCTTCGCTCCGTTAAAACAGCATGAGCTATACTAAACAAACGCGAAAATTCTGGCACATTTATTGCTGCTCTGTTGCCTGAAAGAATCTGTTCGTGAACGAGTGCCCTCTGAAGTTTGTACGATGTTTGATGAACTCGTTTCGGATTCCATGCTTCTTCCGATACTTATCCGCAGGCGCACATCCACGGCCAAGCATCGAAGACCAGCTCGTGACTAAAAACGGGGTTCTTCGCCGACCTCGTCCTTCATCACCGTGGTAAAGAAGAGGGGCTGTGCGCTCCAGAGAGAGCAAGCCCTGCCTCTCCATCTCATAAATCGGATGGTGCTCGTGAGTGCATCGGTACTTTTCCCAAAAGGACTTGAGAATCGCCCTCTCGCGGGCTGCGTCCCTGCGGACCAGGCCTGTGACGATATGCCAGCACTTCTTGTCGACTAAGAATTGAAGCCAGTCACGTAATCTCAGGACAGTCAAGTGTTTCTTCTCGTGCCTCACAGAAGAAAGAGGGACCCACTTCTCCAAGCTTAAATGAAGCTTTTTGGCAAAAAGACGATGTGTATCTCTCTCGGCATCCTTCTCTCGGCACTTCGACAACTCAAGCAGTCCCCCACTGGACGCAGCAGCTTTCTCGCCGATGTCGGCAACCACTCGTTGCGCAGCACGAACCGCCGCCGAGCATGAAGCCTCGGCGTAGGGACATTCTAATATATAACTTCAAAAGCAGGGGCATGCTAATCGATCAGCGATGTGAGAACATGGTGCTTGCAAGCAGACTCTGCCATTCTTTGTTGCATCACTGAACAGCTCCAGAAAACTCAGCATGAAGGAACCTTTCTTTTGAAGGTTCTTGTGTTTCCGGAAGGTGGATACTTGAATGACCTGTACACCAAGTGAAAAACACATCGTCGGCTGAGGTCGTGCTTTCAGTGACGGTGTCGCCGCCGAGGCGTACGTTTCGACATTCAGGCCGACCTCAATTTTCTCACGCTCTCTCTCTTTCTCTCTCTCTCTCTCTCTCTCTCTCTCTCTCTCTCTCTCTCTCTCTCTCTCTTTCCCTCCCTTGCTCTCTTGTTGTGTTCAATCCTTCACTGGCTCTCTCTTGTCGCTATATGTAGACCATCTATATATGTAGATTGTCTTTCAAGCTCTGCTAACGAGTTGCTCTGATGCATGCTGATTAAAGCAGCTTTCCAGCATAGCGGGTCCATAGGCTTCCTGGGACACATGGAGAAGAATAATTCGGACCAAATATCCACATCCTGGGTGTACCCGTAACACAAAGCGCATGCTGCAAAACACTGCCAGCCACGAGACCTTTGCGAGGAAGGCGGAAAGCCAGCGGAAGTTCTCGAGCATGGCTCTCAGATATCAACTGTTCTGTTTGATGTCTAACCCGGGGATTATCAATCAAATACTCACATCTATAGGCTTTGATTGTCTCGCTGGCGGTTCTTGCAGAAGTTTGGGTCGCGAAGAGACAGTAGTCAATGCCCCAGACACGCACGTAGAGCTCCCACAGGCTTCGTTCCATGGAAATGGACCATCAGTAGCCTCAGATACCCACGTGCAAATGTGCGGAAGATAGATGTTGAATCATAATATCGGTGCAACATTCAACATGCAGGTTTGCTGAGATTCGCCTACATATTCACTCCAGCAACGGGGCGGTGTTTTCGTGAGTAGGTCTAGGAGTTCATCCTCCGCCGACTCACAGCTCATGGCCCAAGGCGGCAGCAACAAAAACGGTCAGTGCTTGGACCATTGCCCTGGGATGTACTGGGGCCAAACAGCCTTCGGTAAACACAGTAAGCACCCTCATGCTGCGAGCTTTCGAAACGAAGCCGATCACCCCAAGGTCCAGGCTCCTTCTCCGATCTCAGTGGAAAAGCCGCGAGCAGCAAGCCCAGCTTTGGGACCTGGCCCAGGAATTTGGAAGCACAGTGCTGCTATATAGTGTAAGGGTGCCGCAAAACTGCAACAACTATATGTGGGTGCAGCACGATTAAATTGGCAACGTGATTTTGGTAGCCCCTCGCACATGTAGCGCTCAGAGTCATCGAAAGCTTGTGGCGCAAAACCACACGGCATCGACGTCCCCTTTCGGAACAAGTCTTTAATTGTAAAATGATGTTGGATTCCCTGTGCACTAGCATTGACTCGAATAGCCGATCTTACCTAAGCCTGGGTTTGGCTGGGGTTCTAGATATACATATATATAGAGTGACCAATATAGTCTTAAGTAATACTTCTTTGGATAAAGAAGGAGAGCTGTACATACTGAGCCAGAAACCTTCCCGAAACTGGTCCAACCATAAACCCATATATAAAGACCCCGAGACCCTACATTGCCCATAAGTGATCGAGGCATGGCCGCAGCGCTGCAGCCAGTCTCGCATTTCCGGGAAGGCCGGTTATGATTTTGCACAGGGAACATCACCCCAACGTGCAGGATCGCCCGCACGGTTGCATACCCAAATTGGGAAAATGGCCCTACTTCTTCTTTTGTGCCTTCGGCTTCGACTGCTGAGTGTTTGACTTGGGCGGGGCTCGCTTGTTGGTGCTGTCCTTGTCCACCTTGTCCAGGTACTTCTTGGCATTCCTGCATGATGTAGGTTTGGGTTGGCTTCATTGTAAAAAAAATTCACTACGGAGGATCCGTTCTACTCTATTGTAAAGCAAACCTGCATCGTGAAGCCTATCAGCCCTAACCTTTGACCTACCAGGAACAGGAGCGCTACATATAACCCTGCATAACCCAATACAGGAAGCTAAAACATCGGTCCGGATGCGCGTTTCTGCCGCCACGGCTTTGCTACACCTCAGAATTGCTTTAATGGCTTGTGTACATATATACATGCCAGCACTAGCAGCAAGAGGATGCTAGAGCCAGCACCGAGAACCGAACACAAATGTGGTGGTCTTCATCTGGGCTTCAGCCTTCTGCTTGAACCTTTGTTTACGACAAGACAGAAACTACAGATCATATATGATGTTCAACAAAAACGTCACGCGATCTAATTGTCTCTGGATGCTCTGTGTTGAAGTTGTTCAGCTCACCCTGGCTCAGCACCAACTGACAAGCTTCGTGTTGTTCCTCAAGTTTTTGCACCCATCCGTCCAGGTTCTCGATGTGCCTTTGTCGGCATGGACAGCTTTCGGCTCCGGGCTGAGATTACAAACTATGCAAAGTAACAGTTTCTCTAGATAGGGTAGATGGGAAAGATCTTTGGGCCTACAATATATAAAGGGATCTACACATAGTTTAAGCGTCTGGGGCAGGGTTAATTATATCACCAAAGTCAACTAATGCTTCAGATGTGTAGCTTCTTGGAATCATCACCGTGGTAGTTCTTGGCTAGGTCCTTGGCGAGCCCTCGGATTTTACCCAGCTTGGCCATCAAGTCTTCCAAGAACTTCTGGAGGATAGTGCTGGTCTGGTTCGGCAGGTTGGAACTGTATTTTATTGTCGGGGGTGGTAACTACCTATGTAGGGGTACGTAAATGGGGCAAGCAACTCAAACACAAACAAACCGACGGATCCTTGTTGGCAGAAGCACCGGAAGAGCCAGAAGCCAGGGAGGCTTCAGCGGCCTTGCTCTTCTGGTAGGCAGTCGCTCCTTTGAAGGAGCCCTCCGGGATCTCCACTGGGTCAGAAGCCTAAGTTTAGGAAACATTGAACCTTTCGAGATCCTGATATGGACTGCATCGTACGAGTATGTTTGAGACATAGAGGCTTTGCCAATGTCCGTCTGTTTCTCTTCAACGGACACGGATTCCTTCCTAACCCCTGTCTCCCTGACCGTGACCCAGTACTCCTCCACGTCGTCATAGCAATTTCGCCTTAATTGGTTCAGATCGAGCAATATATAATCTGATTCTAAAAATACCCGAAACCTCGTGAACACTCCTGGGCCCGTGCCGGCAATGGCTTTCGCCCAAGGCTTTGCACCGGCGAATGGCTCCGTCAATCCTTTGCCTGAGGCCCCCCGGGGATATATGTGTAAATTGGCTGCACTGTCTACATCGCAGACCTGTAATGTCCACACATATTTAGTTTATATAAACACATCAGCTAAGTGTGATGCTGGGACCACTTGAGCTCGGTCTTCATCTCAGCAGCTGAATACCAGCCCTCGTCGAGCTTTATCGTGTACTTTTCTTTTTTCGTCACGATCTTCTCTAGCCTTTGCAAGAACACGTCCTGCAAAGATGTTGATGAGAGTCACTGCTAAATGACGACACATACATACACATACCTGAGAGAATGCAGAAGCGCTGACATGTCCTTGCAAAAGTTGCAGTCGCGAAGCAAGAGAGTCATCTCCGTTTTGTTCCCATCCTTCCAATGCTTCTTAGCATACTCTGGAGCCTCGAGATCCTTCTTCTTGGTGTGCGGCTTCATCATCCTGTTAAGTCTGCTCCTGGCGGCCAGGAGCAGTTTCTCCTCCGAGGCGGATGCAGGCTGAGGGCCAAGCTTCAGGGATGCCGTGAAGGGTTTATGTATGCTACATAAGGAAGGTGTACTGATATATCCGCTTTTGGGGATATATATGGGTTTATATAAAGGCTTTAATATATATGTATATATATATATATATAGAGGGTAGATAATAATTTGAATAGATCCTTTGGGGTCCGATGGGAGACTAAACCTTATACACCTTTAAAATTGCACTGTGCATCTTCAACCTGGCAACAAATCTGTCCCACCTCAAACCAAGACTCACATGTGTATGTACTTTATGTCGAGACTACTTATATAGAAGAAAGAAAGGCACCGGACAGGGCAGCGAGAGAGAGAGAGAGAGAGAGAGAGAGAGAGAGAGAGAGAGAGAGAGAGAGAGAGAGAGAGAGAGAGATGGAGGGAGAGAGAGTGAGAAAGAGAGAGAAAGAGAAACACAGACCAGGGAGGGTTTTACACATCACCTCAAGTCTTGTATAACCACACATGATGTAATTTCGGTAAGGACTTTTCTTCTAATATAGAGATGTATAACACCGAAGTCTACCCTAGATATATAGTACCCCAACAAATACAAGTGATTACTGGTCCTGGCGGGTCTGCTCCTTGGTGAGCTTGAGCTTGCTTTCGATTTTCACTGGAACCGGCGCACTAGATGCTCTGGCAGGGGTCGCGATTGGCCTAGAGGTTTCGGGGTCCTTGGGATCAACGGATGGGGCGGCTTTCGGGCTGGAGGGCAACCCTGCGCTGCCGTCGCCAGGGGGCTGGGATGCACCCTTTACCGGACTCTCCCCAGAGGGCTCGGCTTTGACAACAGTCAATGTCATAGACCCAAAGAAAGCTTGCACTTCATCATCATCTATGTCCTGAGATTGACACCATCACAGTGCCTGAATATCAGACATCCTATACACACGCGGGACGTCATTGTATATAGTTTTCGGGAAGCTGCAGGCAAGGAGCATCAACATCGATGGCGTCAGTCTCTTCAGGACCGGTGGTTGGGCCTGTAAACAGCCCAGCGTCCTCGAGCTCCTGTGTCGTTGCCTGGGCACAAACATGTTATGTTGACTCGGACTGAGACTTTGCTGCAGGGGCGCAGGGATTTTGGGGATGGTTGTTCAAGCCTAGTTGCAGGAAGGGTCGCAGCTTCCGAAGGGGGCGCATACTCATCGATAACCTTATCTGCATATATACAAACGAACACATTGAACCTAATCTTGCCTGTGTCGAGAGGCAGGATTCATACCAAGTGGCAGTGTCATGCTCGGGGATCGAGCCAGCAGCCTCCAGGTCCTTTAGTTCCAGTGCAATCTAGATAACATGGCATGTTGTGTACACTATAGCTACCATACGTCTATAGACACACATATCGAATCACATCTGCGCTGTCATGTCTCCTGGAGCTCTTGTTGGAGTCGTGCCTCCTCCTCCTCCATCAGTCTTAGGTTTGCCTCTGTATCTACAGAAGCTATCCCTGCATCCAGAGTCGTGGAACTCCATTGGAAGCTACAGCCATCCTCCTTGCAGGAGGACACCAAAGTGTGCTACTGGCTTGCTGCTCGAGGACCTGCGAAGAGCACGTTCATTGTCTTTGAAGCCAGCAGCACTCACCCGCCCATGGTCGTCACAACATCAACACTTGCAGTGGCTGGGAACACGGTGTTTTCGGCAATGCTGGAACATCCTGTGTGTATTCACACACTGTTGCAACGAATTTGTTTGGTATCTCAGGCCTTGAAAGCACTTCGGGGCACGTTTCTGGTAACTACCCAGGCAGGGAAAAAACCCATATTTCAAATACGGGTTTATACGCGTTAAATATGGGTTAAATACGCTTTAAATACGGGTTGGGAAAAGTAGGTTGTAAACCTACTATGACCATATACGGGTTATATACGGGTCATATGCGGGTTATATTCGGGTAAATACGGGTTATATACGGGTTAGCTTGGGTTGCCTAGTACCAGACTAGCTCAAAACCACTTAAATCGTGCTAAAAAGCTCAGGAATGGTTCAAAACAGCGACAAAAAGCACCCCAAGAATCCTATTGGGAAGCACAATTCCTGAGAAGCCAAAAGCTAGCTGCATTGTGCCGATTGCCGTGGCATTTCGATTCTAAGGGGTTGCTGGGTGACAGGCTGAGGTCGTTCTGTTGTAGAAAGACATCAGGCACAGCCAGCTAAGCAGCACCAGGGAAGGCATTGGGTACCAACTCCTTCCACTCTTGAGGAACTTGCAGCCTTTTGGCCCCCCTCAAGTAAATGAAAACGTCCTCTAGGCCCGCGAAAGACCAAAAGTCACCCTGGCTACTGTACCGCATCGAAGCAAAAGTCGTTCGAGCAGATGGTACTTCATCAGGCATTTGTGGTTGTCCCTGTGCCGTAGCCTTGAGGAGCTCGCAGTGGTGGGCCAAGTAGCAGGCGAAGCGGGGAGGATACTCCCTTGGCTTGGGCAAGTTATTGGGTCATTGGTGATGATTTAGGGGCTGAGGGTTGCGGGCTTTAGGTTTTCCACATATACACAATTTAGATATGCGTAAGCATAAGGGGAATGACCTTTATATTGTATGTAAATATATGATATATACACGATGCAATAATGTGAATGCAGCAACTATCTAGCCGGTGGTTTTAGACCGTCTCGATCCTTTGTATGGCTTGTATAAAGTGTATATATATATATATATATGTAGGACAATAACCAAAGGTTGGGTATCTGTCCCATAGATAGAAGATTCTGATCTATAGTTAACATATATATATACTTTTAACTATATATACTCTCTACCGTGTCTTCAACATGGCTATGGGACAGATACCCAACCTTTGGTTCTATATATGGTTGTATGTGGAGATATGTACAGAGATTGCACCCATTTCTTGCTATCGGTCGATCTACTTAATTTGCCCCTTGATTAGCCTCAAGATTCTGAGAAATAGTGTTTGTTTGCAACATTAAACACAGACACTGGTATTTCAGATCATACCTGGTTGTTGGGGAGCGAGTATGTTTTCGGGACAGTAGGTAACCCTGCACACACCCACCTAAGTAACCCTTGGGCCTACCCAGCTACATTACTATATATATATATATATATATATATATATATATATATTTCTAAAAATATAGAACATATATATGTAACATACCACACAGACGGCGGGAGTCGGGCTTTGAATCAGTCTTGAGGGCTTTCGCGTTGTATACACAAAGTCCTTAAGTTCGGTCCTATAGTTCTGTACGTGTTATAGCTTATACCATGTCTAAACCCAATTCAAAAAGCCGTATACTAGTTAATTCCCTGAATCCAATCGGTTAGGCGAAGGGTGTGGGCTTTGGCTTTGCTTCTTTTGGGGTTCTACATCGACACGACGAAGAAGCTTTGGCGCAGTGAGCTGTACAGCGGATTGATCGCAACAAAGCCGGGGGGATTATGTGGATCGATCGGGGATTAAGTTTTGGTTCACAACTACATACTTGAAACTATGTGGCTTGTGCGCCCTGCTTCCCTTCAAACCGAAGCAGAACAACACCCTTCCATCATTCCCCTTATATAGAATAACCTAAACCATCTCTACTTACCAGCCCACCCACATACCTATCGAGAAATGACTATCTTCAGTACCACCTACTTAACTCTTATAGCAGCAAGACATATACATGATACAAAAAATAGATAGCCAACCATCGACGATTTACCTGTAAACACAGGCCTGGAAAGCACCCTAAAACCAACCATGCCTTAAGCTAGAGAATGCTATATTCCAATGTAATGAACAACGATAACAACCGGGGCACTCCGTGGCACGTAACTCGGGCGTGCCTTGGTAGCACTCCTTTCCCTGGGCATTGTGCTTTCGTGTTGTTGTTTTCGATTCTCCGTTTTTGGACCTGGACCACACCTTCATGTAGAGCTTGCCTCGGTTCAGCAAGTGTATTTGATCAGTGTTGGCATAGGCATAGTGTCTTTTGGGAGTCGCTGAACCGTAGTGGCACATCCACCATTTGGTGTCGTATACCTTAGTCTACTATAGCGCATTGCTAAAGCTCCTACCCCATGACACTTGCGACCCAGCGCAGGTTCCTACATCTACCCTTCAGCATGTTTAACCCAAGAAATCAAGTGGCAGCATCTCGTCCCCGAACATTGAAGAGATCCATAATCATCTTGCGGAAACTGGGGTAATATTCGAGAACAGATTGATTCGGCTGCTCCACGAACCAGGTTCCTCCCAGCCCAGTGACCAGATAGATCAGGAGGACGGACCTGCACTGGGCTGCTTCTGTTGTTGTTCAAATACGTATGATCGAGGCCTAAATTGGGAGGGTTTATATAGGGGGTTCAGTGCTTTAAATGGGTTTAAGACACTTTCGTGGGCGAGTATGGACGAAACATGTAACTGTACCTGGCCTCTCGAGCAACATGTTGCTGGTACGGACGGACACATAAGCATCGTAGCCCAGGCTGTTACACTTGCTTCGCTTGGAAGTACCACTGTTCATCTTGCAGAACGAAGAGCACATCACTGCGAACATTACAAAGAAATTTTCAGGGCGGCCACGGAGGATGAAGTAGCAGGCGAGCCTCAGAGGGGCGAGCAGTTTAGGGTTTAGAAGGGTTGATATATGTATGTATATTAGAACTTACACTGTGTATTTACACCGAGGTGCAGGAAACCTGAAGCATGGGTCAGATCCATAAAGTTGGAGCGGTGTCGTAGGTCGGGTGCATTGTACTTCTTGTCAAACCGTGCAGCTTTGAGGGATTTGTTTCTCATAGCAGCGGTTGTTCGAGCACGACCAGCATAAAACTCCAAGCAATCATAATCCTTGGTGGTTGCAGCTTCCAAACTGCCGGGTTACATGGCTCGAAAGCACACACATGTAGCCGGCCTGGACCAGTTCATCTTCCGTGTAGCTGAAAATGAGGAGCAGCAGGCACAGCACAAACTCCTGGGCCAGAGCAAGGCTACGCTTAGATAGGGGCTGGGCTAATGTTCGGATTAGCCGAAGTGCATTACGTGATAGGCAATCGGGGCTCCTTCGGAACGTCGAGGCACTTCAGTGCGTACACAAGTCGGTCAAGGCTCACCATTGCAGCGAAAACAGCAAACGAGCTGAAAGTCACCTGATCAGCCCAGAACCCAATAGCAGGCCGCAGTTCTTAAATTGAAACAAGCCCTGCCAAAAATCGAAGCATATATACATGGCGGAAGCTCTCGGACCTTGATCCATATCTCATCCGAAAGAGGGCTCACGGCTAACTCCACAAAAAAGCCAAACTGCCAGCTTCTCACATGAACATGTTCATGCCAAAGGCAATAACACGTGGCCGGTGATACGTTTCTTGGGCAGGAGATCCAGCCTCACCTTCCATTTGTTCCCGCGCGTGGACTTCGCTTTGGCTCTGGCCTGGGCACAGGAGAGGGCGAGGAGAGCTTTAAAAGGTCGTGATGCATGGAAAGCTTGTCGAGCTGCATTGCTGAACTGTCGAATGCGTGTTGAAGCAAAAGCGATATGGTAGGCTCCCCGATTTTCCTGGATGCCCCAGTCTGGACGAAGAGCCGTCAGGCTATGAACGACAGTTTTAAATTCTGTCGATCTATGCAGCCAGAGCACATTGCGGAAAAGGCCAACCATGATATACACGTCATCTCGGGAAAGAACCATGCTGAAGTGATTTGTCCGTATATACGATGAAGTATAACTGAGAACCCTTTTCAGCTCCTTGCAAGCTGCGGAACTAAGTGCAGGCGTCCTTGGACAGCATCCCGAGCAATGCATGCTACAGGTAATTCAGGCCTTTGTAGAGCTTCTATCAGATCTTTATGAAGGCTATAGCCAAAGTTTTGAGAAACCTCTGAAAGTAATGTAGGTCGAAAATAAATACAGAACACCTGAACCCTGTACTGTATATTCTTGGTATACCACCGACATACCTTACCATTGGACTGGGGATGTTGTCAAGCTGTTATATATAGAGTCAACATAATACAAGTACAATGTTCAGACGATTGTGATCATCAAGGGCTTCGATGTGGCATTGCTCGAAACTATAGGACTGCACCACTCCTCTAAGCACAAGCCCATGCTACGCGGGGGGGTGTCGTTGTCACCCCACAAGCTGACTTTCATCAACTTGCATCCCAACCACAACCGGCACACCTACGCTCGAAAAGCTCGTGCACAGTAGCAGTGCAAAAACCTATTTGCCATCGAAGTTCATTGTTGGGCAAAGCTGCCGAACCACACAAAACTCACTTCTTGCTTGGGGCGATGACCTGCTGCAAGTACTTCTTGCAGCACTTCTCCACATGGCTGACCACGTTGTCCTCGTCGATCTTCGCTTTCGTTTTCTGCATCTGCGTCATACAATACATCCAAAAGGGGTCCTTCGGGCGTATAGCTAGGTTGTTGTGGTAAAACGAAAACCCACACAGAATGGATTGATTAACATATATACCCAACTGTATAAGCTACAGACTTAGAACATATCCCTTGCATAAAAAAACATATAGCATATAGCCCATATCCTCGTAAAGGCTGGGGCTGCCCGAAATCTGGGGCTTGATCTGCGACCGGAAGCAATTTCTGATTGCCTCCCACCGCTTCGCCTTGAAAGGCGTGGCCGGCCTGTACCGCCTGGCGAAAGTAGGCTCGCCGTTGGCTGCTTGAGCCCTCTTGTTGCTGAAGCCCGCACAATCCGGCAACCTCTTGCGCTTTGCCACAGGCGCCTCATCTGCGGACTTCGCATTCTTGGAAGCCCTACCCTTAGCCTTAGCCTTAGCCTTGGGCTTGCTCTTCGTGTCCTTCGACTTGGTCTTCGGCTCCACTTCGCCGTCGATCGTCGGCTCCTTGCGCTTTCTGTTGGTCTTCGGCTCCACGTCGCCCTCGATCGTCGGCTCCTTTCGCTTTCGGTTGGTCTTCGGCTCCATGTCGCTCTTCGGGTCGTCGGCCTTGGACGGGTTCTTTGTGCTCTTGCGCTCCTTGATGGTGCTCTCCGGCTCCGTCACGGGCTCACGCTTAGATGCCTTTTTGGGCGTCTCGTACCAGTAATCGCCTGGCGCTTCATACCAAGCCATCCACTCCTCCACCGAGTAGTCGGCTTCAGCAGCCTCGCCATCCGCTGCCGCATCGGCAGATGAAGGGCCTCCGCGGCCGCGGCCGCGTCCACGGCCCCCTCGACCGCCACCACGGCCGCGAGTTCCACGACCGTCCTTCTCCTTCCTCAGCTGCTTCAACTTGAGCTGAGCGATCCTATCGACCGTTGGGTCCGTCTCCAATGGCTCCTGCACGAAACAAGTTTCTAAAAGCACTAGCAAAATAAGCGGGAACCCTATAAACCCCTATATAACCTGAAACCCGAAGTTCCTTAAACCCTTTCTAAATACACACAAGCAATTGTATCGATCCTTTATACAAGGATCGATACAATTGCATCCGTAGCCAACCATATATATAATATATTAGCTATATCCTCTAAACTCCGCTCCTTGTCAGGGGTGAAAACCTCGGGCGTCTTACTGCTGAAGGTTTCAGGCGAAGGGGGGTTGCCAGGCAATGGCTTGGTGACCTGGCCCTTGCCCTGGTACTCCAATCTGCGATGCTCAACACTTCGGCTGGGACTATCATGACTTGTCTGCTCAGGCGGGGTGTCAGCAGCATCCATATCGTAAGGCAGCGTGTCGGCAGCATCCATACAACCTTTGGACAAACACATTTTTCATCACTTACTTTTTGGACCCTCGGTTCTCTCTGTATATCTATCTCTCTCGTGCTCTTTTTTCGATCGTTCTGGAACAGTATATATACTACATACATACATACCCATTAATTGTGGAAGAAATACATAACAAGCATCTCTCACTATACCTTCTCGCCTGTCGGTACCACAGCAGCAGCAGCAGCAGCCGGCTCAGCCGGCTTGGCCACAGGACTGGTGATCCTGTCCCGCTTCGCACGCAACCTGATGATCGGTTATGTACGTGATACATGGGATATATAGTCGATCGATCGATTATAAAAAATATGCCACCAGAATGCTTCCACTTATACTCGAATCTGCAAGGAAGAAACATCTCCAATCGATCTTTGATCTGCTGGATGCGCTGTTCTTTCAAAGCCTTCTCGCCTCGACCCGGTGATCCGAATACCCAATCAAAGAAATGACTCCAAGCGAACTGAACCTCACGAGGAAACTTAACTAAGATTGTCACTTGCAGTCGGCTCCACCCCAGGGACAAAGGTTGTCTTAACTGGCACTGTTACGACTGCTCCCGGCCCACTGTTCTCGTTCGGCACTTTCACGCATGGACCCGGCCCACTGTTCTCGTTTGGCACTTCCACGGCTTCCACGGGTGGACACGCAACCGGTGCCGGCCCACTGTCCTCTGCCGGCACACTGCCCTCGTCCGGCACCTCAACGATCTGCAGGGGAGCCATGCCCACATCGGACGAGTCGGCATACTCATCCGTCTGCTCTGACCCCTCACACGCCGCCTGAAAGTCAGACAGGTGACTGGCGAGGTCACTGCAATCGTCCTCACCATCGTCGTCGTAAGCATCCTCATCGCTCTCGACTTGGGGGTCCTTCCATGCACAAAGAAAATAAAGTGGACCCTTATCCAGACCCATACATGAATCGGAGAATACATGACGATATATGGACTCAAGTCCTCAGCTGCGGTTGCCGCCTTCGCGGCACGTCGTCGCTGAAGGGACTCGTTGATCTGGTCCACGATGCCCTCCACAACTATATCAAATACTATATACGATGTTTTTTCTATACAGCATGGGACTCCACACTGTGTGTGTACTAAACACACCCACCCCGAAAGCCCCCCAACTCCTGCAAGTCGGGGTCCAAGGCCAAGCACAATTCTTGGAAGTCGGGATCCTTGATCGTGTTTATAGAAAGGATCGAAAAGTAAATCGTTACATTTAACCGCAGATATACAGGTCATTCCAGCTACATATGTAGTCTGACATTGCGCGATTGCCAAGACCATCTATTTTTAAGCCAGGCAGCATTCGACACCTCTTGACGTCGACATTTCATCTTGATGAAACCGCAGTTCTTACGGATTAGCCAAGCAGACTTCTGAATATCCTCCTCTGTTGGGTCTCGCTTGTTCAGTTGCATGAGCAATCGAACCTCGCATCGAAACGCCTCGATACTCGGTAGTTTCTTGTTGGCTTCCCGCATGCGATTGAGTATCGGCAAAAGCAGGAGTTTGTGCTTCTTCGGCATCTTGATATCCACTTGCTTTTCCGATACTTCCACGATCAGGTTCTGACCTCTGCGCAGACCCTCACGTAAGCTTTCGATGGCATCCCATTCGGCCGCTAGACCGTCAAGCGAACACTCGGCCATGGCTTCAAGGACACAAAATGTGCCCCGTGAATCCCTTCAACCTATATAGACCCGCAAAATCCTTGAGATCACAACGATCGAGTTGTCGGAAGGAAGCTTGTGCACATGCGATACACATACTGCCCGAACGAGAGGAGAAGATGAGCGCTGGACCATGCAGCGGCATTTGTCGCCAGCCGTGGCAAAATGGCCGTTGGCTCGCTCGCCATGATATAATTACGAGAGCTGTCGGTAGATTTTTAACATCACTTGAGAAGTCTGCAAATCCACGGGGTGTGGCATTCTCAATTAGTGGGGTGAAGGCTAGAGTTGTTGGCTCTCGAATTTCGCACAAAGGCTTATCTGAAAAAGCTTAGGGACCTCACAATTCTAAATGGATCGAAGGCGCTCATGTGCATGATCATATCAAGCTGTGTGGCAGCTAGCGACACCTGTTTGCTTCAGAATATCTAGATAAGTTCAGACTGTAATGGGTTCTTCAAGAGCAGCGGATCGCAAATCATCGCTCGAGGATGCCAAGCTTCCTCACAGAATGCCTTAAATTACAACCCCGAACCAGACCAAGATCTCAGAAATTAGGGTCATAACCAGAAACCAGGTTCTTCAAGAGAGAACCGAGTTATTTTCAAATTTAGCCCCAAACCCAGGTTCTTAAATTAGAACCGACTATTTTGTAGGTTGTTGGGGGTTTAGGTATATATATATATATATGTATTTATGCATATACATACATATGTATATGTATATGTATATGTAAATCCAGGTACGTCTTGTGTGGGTTGTGTTTGCTTAAAGTAACTTGTTGTGGTACTCTTGCTGCACTTAGGGGTTCCGGATAGTCCAGGGCGCTGCGTCTTGGTCTTGAGGGGTTGGGGCACTGTGGAGCCGACAAGTTCAATTCAGGGCTCCAGGTTATAAGTGGTTTCGTGAGTAGGGTTTAGAGTTCGGCTTAGGGGCTTCGGGTGCAGGGTTGTTGTTTGTGTTTTCGTAGTCTGTGGTTCAACTTTACATCCCGGAAAGCGTTTTGCATCAGCCGATTTGTCAATAGAGAGATGAGAAGAACACGAAAATCGGTTTCTGTTCCACTCTCCTGAGCCCCGAATCTCCGATCCTTCTAAACCCTGAAACCTAAATCTTAAATCATCCGAAATCTACCTGCTGAAAGCCAAATCGACCGCCGCACCTCCTTTCCGGCAGCCCGAACGCAGCCTTGAAGGCAGCCTCAAGAGCGCATTTCAGGTCTTGCTTTAGCCCCCGCCTCTCCATCTCTATGCCACACTTCAAACTGCCGAAGTCCTCGCGCACCAGGACTCAGGGTATCGCAGCCCCAATGACGATCAAAGAACCGAGCCGGAACCAGCAACTCTGCAGACACTAAATCCTACACGTCACGAGCCGTGAGAGAAGATTGCTTCACATCATAAGACCTTCTCAGCGAGTTTTATCAAGCGTCGCACGGCTTGCTTATCCTACTCAGACCAACCTTAGAGACATGGCTTCAGACTGTACGAGTATTAGGGCTCAGTGTTCTGAGTTCGAAGATGGATCTCTTTTGAGACGGGCCTGGCAACAAAGAGTGCCGGCGTTCCCGCACCTCGGCTGCAAGCCAAGACCTCTTGTAGTCCGTATGTAGCCATACAGTAAACACCATAAAGTTGGAAACCCCATAGCCTCAGTCCTAAAAAGTAAAGTATAGGGAATCCCAGCACTATTTGTCCTCAACTACTTACAGGATCATGGGACTTAGCAATTGGGGTTATAAGTACGGTAACTACAGTTATAGTTACATACAACCTTAATTAAGGTACTTATAACCCTACTTACTAAGTCCCATGATCCTCTAAGTAGTGTGGTGCAAGGAAGTTAGTCGCAGCGGTCTTGTCAATTGGTTCCAATCCCTAAACCCTAAACCCGAAGCTTCGGAACTCCAACTCTGAAATCCCCCAGCGACCGACGGTTTGGGGTTTTAGAGTTCAGGGGTTTGGGGGTTTAGGGTTTAGGGGTTTAGGGTTTAGGGGTTTAGGGTTTAGGGTTTGGGGCTCGGAAGACTCACTGGCACTTGTCCCTCATCGTCCCTACGAAGATCGTCATCATATAATTGCCCGGAAACCCAGTTCCAATTATTTAGGGACCCAAGAGGCACATAAGCATAAGCATTCTATAGGGATATCCCTACCTTATTGGCCTTCCTCTTAAAGAGGGTTTATGTAGGATATCACTATCCTTAATTTTGCTTATGTGCTTTTTCTCGGGCCCTAATTATGAAGGCCCCTGAATTACCCTAAGGGTCCTAATACTTTAGGGAACCTCAAAATGTAGGAGTTCTGAGATCCCAAAGAGACCCAAGGGCTCTCCCTAGGAGATTCCGGACCCTCGTAAGGAGATACCTGGCCCCTAAATTACACGAACCACAGGTCGGTCCCCTGGCGCTTTAATACGTACCCCAACCAGATCACCCCAAAATGGGAGTTTCCGAAAATAGGGTGCCCTACTTTAGTACCCTAAATAGCAGGATCCTTATTAGAAGGGCTCCAGAAAAAGGTATCCCCTAAATTTCGGAAACTCCCAAATCGCAAAATAAGAATGGTCATTTGGGAGTTTCCGAAAATTCGGGGTACCTGTTTTGGAGCCATATAATAAGGATCCCACCATTTAGGGTACTTTTTTAGGGTCCCCGATTTTCGGAAACTCCCATTTGGCACCCACTTGCATATAGCTATAGTTAATGCCGACCCTTCGAGCAACAGTGCCTCCATCCCAATGCCCATAGGACGATATAGGGGCCTTTATAATTACCTATACTATTTTTTGCGGGGGTGCCTTATTATAAATATAGTATAATGGGCCCCAAAGCCCTATTCTGATTATCAAGGCCCCTAAATAAGGACGAACCTTAAACCCGTCCGAAAGTCTCAGACAGGACAGACCCTTAAATGGCTCCGGGGTCTTTGGCTCCAACAGAAACTCAAAGAGATAAGTCCCAAAATCCCGTCTGTCCATGTGCAACACCTCCAAGAACGGTTTAGGGTTTAGTCCGAAAGCAAGCATTTTTTGCAGCAGCCCTTGCGACTTAGGTGGTCATTGAGCAATGTGGCTCATCGAGCCATTTCTCCGCTGCGCGCGGTTTGATGATGAGGACCTCAGCTTGTGGGACCTTTGCAGCCCATGGTCGGATAGTTACCTATAGTCTCCATTGTTCTCTTTTTGTTGGTTTAACCAATTGTTTATTAAGGATCCCAAAAGGTAACCCCAAAAAGGAACTACAACGGAGACTATAGGTAGTATTTAACAGATTTTCCGTGGCTTTATGGAACCCGCAAGCCCTAAATGAATCGTGAAGGACCTTACATGACCGCTTCAACATGACTGGTTCGTAAATTTGTAGATTAACTTCTGCTGGTTATGTTTCAAGTCTGGGGTTTGTTGAGTTTGTTGCTTGAGCTGGGAGTGCTGCGCTCCCATATTTCTGGGTTATTTAAGTGACCACGATAGGGATCTATAGTGAAGAGTATGGTTTCCTTACTATGGTAACTTAATACAAATTGAATATCCCTGTACCCCTAAAGGAGCCCTGATACATCCCCATGGGGAAAGTTGATAAATTCAATCCCTTAACAAAAAAACAGAAGTTTGCTTTTGAGCTTAGAGCCGCCAAAGGCCTTCAAGTTAGGGCTCCGGATCCCGCCCGGTCCAATACATCTGATGACCCAGAGGGTCCAAAGTGCTTATCTAGTAGAATATAGGGTTTTTCATATTCGGAATTACGATTATTAATTGGGGGAGAGTATTGAGTATCTTCCACAATTTTACCTAGCAGCCTTGGCGTGACAGGAGGGTGCACAGCCGTACCTCGGCGTCGATGATCACAGCCTCCTCGCCAGCTGCCTCGGCTTTTTGCAGGTTTAGGGTTCATGATCGTTCAGGGCATGGGGATCAGGAAGGGTAAATTATGGTAGGCAATTGTATGATTCTGGCACTCATTATCTAGAGTTATACGGTTTGTAAGGTTTGGGGTCTCTTCATGAACTGTTGAAGGACCTTTGCACAAATGACCTTTGCATAAATGCTTACAGACGGCTTCTGAACAAGGCCCAGAAACCCTAGAAACCTTTAAAGACCTTGTTAGACACCCTATCGTCTTATATCCTGTATTGGCCGTTTTTGACCACCCCAAATCCTCTCGCCGGCAAACACACTTTAAAGCACCATAGAGGACGATTGCGGTTTAGGGACTCATGGAAATCCTACAGAAGCTCAACATGCCATCCTGGAGTTCTTGCAAGCTTTAAGTATAGACCATCTTCACCCGAAGCCTTAAATAAGCCCTAGACCCGTAACCTTAAATTCAAAGCTCTTGCAAGCAATAAACCCTAAACTCGAAACCGAGGCCTCTCAGGACTTCATAGAGGAGCTTCACGGAAGCTGCTCCGTCACGGCGGAGCCCCTTGGTCCCGTGGCTGGGTGCGAGACCCAGGGTTCAGGACTTAGGGTTTAGGGTATAGGTTAGGTACTGCCCCCATACAGTAAGAGTCTATAATAGGGCTACTATTAAGGTCCTACTATTTCTTTATTATGAATATTATTCAACCGTTACTGAGTGGGGGGCCGTACCCAAGGTATAGGCTTATAGTTGTTGGTTTTGTTGGCTTTGCCCTTTTGTTGGGCTTAACGGCGCTTGTAGTATTCAGAGTGGGTTTGGCTACGAGATAGCTGCAGCTGCAACTAGTTGCAAGAGTCTGACCTTGTATCCACCTCCGAACCCCTAAAGCTCTAAACCCTAATGTCGTGTGTTCGATTCGTCTTTCCTGAGTTTCAGGGTTCCCGGAGGGCCCAGGACCCATCTAAATCCGGAATATTCCTTACCCATGATAATGTGGTCCTTGCTTTGACAAGTTTGTTTGGTCTGCTGCTGAATCAGGTGTGTTTAGCTTCTTCGGCTTCGGGTTTGTAGGACATCCGGAGAGATTGGAGGTTTTGAGGGTGTTGGGGCGTGTGTCTCG